AGGGGATCTCGTAGTCGAGCAGTCTCGACTAGAGCTTTCTTACTTGTTTCTTTTGCTTAAATCTTTCATGTCAATTGTTGTACGATGACGTCATAAACCGGTTGGCTGCAATCCAAAAAACGTGAAAATTTTAAATTATACGCGTACAAATTTGTGTTTTTTTCTCGCAATTTTAATGTGAAATCTCTCATGCAGTCTGATATTTTCACTTTGTTTTGCTGCTTAATTAATTAAATTCAATAAATTTTCACTGCCTGGTGACACTTTTGTTGATAATGAGGCGAAAACGCCAACATCGAATCTGATTAATGGAACGTTCTCCATTTAAATCGTCAAGGTGGACGCGCCGGCCACATGATGGACCCGGACCTGGGTGTATTGCACGGCTGCATGGTCCAAGGGGAACATCACCAGCATATAACAACAAATTTGTGTTATTATAATCTTTTCATATTATTAATTGCTCAGATAGATGTCAGTTTGGAGGCCACATGAAGGCCGCAGATCACAATAGGAATGGCATTTCCTGTTGCCACAAAATCAAACTTTTAGTTGTTGCTCTCGCCTGGCTCATATTTTGGATTATTCAGAGCGATATCTGCAGCCGAATCGACGGGCTCCCAATGTGTCAGTGCGGAAATGGCTAATAAGTGGTTTTTATCACAGGTGTCTTGTCGTCATTACATTAATTTCTTTGCATATAAGAATATACGAAAGGCCTCTTAATATTCGACAATTCCCACTAAAGATATGGATTTAATCACTTGCGAAATCTTGTACAAAGCCGGCACCTATCTCCAGTTCTCAGACAATTATTATTAGTTTTTAGTATATTTAATGTTAGTTTTTTTTTTTTTAATTCATAAAAATAAAAAATTGTTGGCATTTGTTTAATATAAATATAATATATAAAGAAAACTCAATTAAATTCAAAATAAATGAATACACAAATCAAATCGATAATATAGTAGATATACATATTTTGATGTGGATGAATATTTCTTGGATAGTAACTAAAATATACATATATAATTCGGTTCTGTATTCAAATATATATACATATAATATATTCAAAAGTATTTATTTAATTATTTATATATTAAGATTGTAGTATACCAACTATTAAATCTCATTTAAATTGGCTACTGAAAATTATTTATAAATAATTTAGACAAGAAAATCTCTTGGGATTCGTCTTAAAAATTACCTCTCCTACAGTATTTCAGAGTCGATCGGTTAGCAACAGATATCGTGAATGGCAATAGTGTGAAGTGAAATTTAAAATAGTTTTCCATTTCCTGTCACGCTTTGGTCACTGTGTCGCCTGTGGAAATGGAACGTGATCGACTTTGCACACCTCTAGAAATATAAATAGAGACACTTAAGGACATGTAAGCCGCATGTCCATTTATGAAAGCGCGCGCATGTAAAATTATTTAAATTGAGTCATCACAAAGAAAAACGAATGTGAATAATAATAAAATTGCACAAGAGGAAACGGTGGCAGGAACAGCAGCTCATTAGACATCCATATCGGCCAGACAACGTCGTTGGCGCCCGCGTCTATATATGTATGTAGTATATATGTCGCTCAACTCGGCACATGCTCCGGACCATAATTGATTTATGTCACGAACTAGCTTCAAGATATAACGTATTTATCAGCTGCAATTAATGTGGGAGCGCAATATAAAAACATCGTGTATAAATATGCATATATCAAAGAAAAACAATGAACAGATAATGCCTGACTCAGTGGGCATTGACATCGACGATACTAGCCTTAGTCCCCCACCGAACGCACTGCTCATCTTTTGCGCACTATCATCCCAGTATATGTAAGAAGCATATATCATGCATATGCAACGGATGTGACGATAAATCAAGGCATCCGATCTTGACCATGACAACAGGGCGTATACGCAATCAATATCAATTGATCGGAAGTTACGCCATAGATATTGAGTAATTACTCCGTTATTGTTGAAGGCTGCCGAGCATTTTCGGCAACTCTGGCTCCAATCATTTACGAAGGCACAAATGAAAGCCAGTACGATTTGATTTAGCTTATTATTTATTAATGTAATGTCGAGGCTATGGTAGCTGTTTAGGCAAAGTTATTTCGATGCGAGAGCGACAAATATGTGTGTAAGTGCTTGGCGAATGAAGACTATTCTTGTAAAGAGTTAAAGGAACAGAAGTAAGGAGGAGTATGCAATTAACAGAGCAGCGGAAATATACATATGTATTTGTGTTATGCTTAGTTATTTGCATGAGTGCACTAACAGCGAATGAGACTGACTAAAGGCAATGAATAACTTAAGAGAGAGACATGTTCACTATTGAGAGCAATTATTAGCTGCTGCGCCGAACAGTTATCATATAGATAAGGTGTCAAAGACTTTTGGGAATTTGTTAGTCATATATTTTGTTTTACTCTTTTTGGGTTACTACAATGACCAAGCACAGTAGGGCAAGCACAGTGGGGCAAGCACAGTGGGGCAAAGATGGTGGAGTAGTGAAATTTCAATTGACGATTGATCCCACAAGACCTTAAGGCTGACTCGTCTCATTGGAGCAATGATACAAATTCATCTATTCTGAGTGGAGACCGGGGTCTATGTCTACGATTATAGGCTAAGCATCGAGTATTGTGCAATATTAAATGACAATAAATTAAATTTAAATGAATGTGGATCACAATTATCGACAGTGTGTCAGCAACACAGATCAACTGTAAGCATGCATACGTAAATTCTTTGGAAAAACTAATTTTATGTTTATGTATGTATGTGCATACTACTTGTATATTGAATTAGTCATATAGATAAATGCACATACATATACATGTTTTTATATAAATTGATTTAAAATGGAAATTAAATTAATTTTAAATGGAAATTAAACTCAATTCAGAACAATTGTTAAATAAATATATTCACACTAAATGTATGTATTTTATTGATTTTATTATATATATATATATATATATATATATATATATATATATA